TAAGTTTAGTTTTTTTAATACGCCGCTTGTCCACCGTATATATATATATTGGCCAACCTTTCTACTTCCCTCTACCATGTTTGCTTTCTTTCGAAAGCGATTTTCTCCATTTTTATTTATCGCGTTTCGGATCTAAAGCGCGAACGACCGTACCGAATCGAAGGTATTTGATCGCGAACCGTCGGCAACGCACGGCAGACACGTTTAAAACGGAAGGGAGACGACAGAGCGGAGACGATAATCTGATGGTCGGTGGGTGGGAGGGATGTGGTAGGGGAAGGAAAAATAAAACGACCGGTATTTCATCCCTTTAAACTCGACGGAACGTCGAAGAAACACGGAACAATCCTGCGAGGAAGAGATTGAGAACAAACGGCTTAAGGTGGTCACCCTCCCCCCCCCCTCATCCTCATCCCCCTTCCCTGACTCTCTGTTCCCCTTTGTCCGGGAAGATCGCGTTATCGGTCGACAAAATATTGTTATCGTGCCGTAGCGATGGTGAATCACTGATGCGAGAACCCGGCGCACAAAGGGTGCCGTGCAAAAGGAAAGTCGATAACGATTGACCGGTAAACGTATTGACGAGGAGCATCGACGCGAGGGCCAAAGCGAAACGGAACGAGAAATCGTGGCGAACATGAGACCTCCGCCACTCCGATACGCTACGAAATTGCCACGCGAATCACCATTCCAAATTTTTCACGTAAGCCAAGTTAGGATCAATTACCTATGGAAAACCTGCGCGCGTCAAAACACGCAAGTATTTTCTCCACGAGCTGCACACGTTTTGGTTCACGGTTCTTCCAAGGGACAAGCCAGCAAGTGACCTCATTTTCACTCAACATTGCGATAAATTAACGCGGTTGAAGAGAACAGCACAATTACATGCACGATTATCGTAGAGGATATGTATACGTGCATAATTGCCGAGGGAATCAGATGACGCGTGTTCCCCTTCGGTTAAATGGTGCAATCTCAAAACTAGATAACTCCGTGTCAATTTAACGAGCGTACCTTGAAGGGATTCGTTCAACTCCAACTTGTGTTTCCGGCACACGTAAGGAACGTACGTAAGGAAACTTGCGAAGCAACGATGGTAATCGCATTAACGTCGTCGAGCACTGGCCGTGCCTTGAAACCGACGAAACGAAA